ACGGGGCAGCGGGGATGGGGGAGCTGGGTGCACGGTGCCTGATGGCAGCTGTAAGGGACGCCACGTGCCCCTTACAGCTGCCGTCAGGCGCCCCCCCATCAGTTGGCACCCTGGGCAGTTGCCCGGCTCGCCCATGCCTCCCTCCAGCCCTGGCTAGCAGGGCTGGGGCTCTACTATCTTGCCTGCAAGAACACCAGGTAAGTAGCTTCCTTACCCCAAACCCCTTTCCCCCATCCTGGCCCTCGGCTGCAATGTTGTGGAGGGAGAGGGAAAAAAAGCTCCTGGTGGCCACGAGGAGTCTGGGAAAAGAGAAAATGTCCATGCTGAATGGGACATCCCCATCTTGAGCCCCATTTCATCCCCCCAACCCTCACTCTCACACACTCTCCGCCCTCAGCCCCCTGCCCTGCTTTCCCACATCCCCAAGGCCTTGCCCTGACTCCAACACCCCCACACCACCAGCCTCCTGCTCTGAAGGACCCAGGCAATGCTGGGTAAGTCTGCTAATGGTATAAAGAAAGCCTGAAATAGTTGTGGTTTCATTTCTTTTGTTTTTTAAAATGTAAGCTTCTATCTGGGCTGGAAGACTGGTAGGATTGGAGAGCTTGTGAACTGGTGATGTCAACATAGCCAATGCAGAATAAGATGAGCTATTAAAAGGGGAAGGATTTTTAGTCAAATCTGTATAAAACTGTTTTTTTGTTTTTTTTCTTCTGAATTCCTATTTAACTTCAGTGGCTTTGTTAAAGGCCAAACACCTTTGTACTTACAATTAAAGAGCTCACAATAAAAAATGATTACTAATCTTGTAATTGTTGTTCTTTGAGATGTGTTGCTCATATCTACAACAATTAGGTATGCGTGCACCACGTGCATGGTAGCCAGAAGATTTTCCCTTAGCAGTATGTGTTGGGTTGGCCTGGGCATGCTCTGGGGTCACGCCATCATATCACTTAATATAGGGCCTTGCTGACCTACCACTTTCTAGGTTCCTTCTTCTAGCTACTCTGGCAGAGGACTAACAGGGAGAATATTAGCATGGACATGTGCAACACACCTTGAAGAACAACAGTTATGAAAAGGTTAGTAAACAGTTTCTCTTCTTTGAGTGATTGCTCAAGTCAATTTCAATTAGGTGATTCTTAAGTCTTGAGTTTTGGAGGCAGGGCTGGAGCTTAAATATTTACTGATTACAGTGCCAGTCTAACAAAGGCTGCATCATCTCCAAGCTGCCGGAAAAGTGTGTACTGTGAGATGAAATATGTATGAAGGACCACGATGATGCTCTGCATGTTTCCAGGGTTGGAACATGTGCCAGAAATGCTGCTGACGTTTGGTGGAGTGTACTATAAGCAGAGGGTCTGTTATCTTCACCAGGATGAGATCTATATGAAATCCTTTGGGAAGAGGCTGGAAGCCTTTTCATTCTTTTGCCATCATGACAAACAGCTGAATGGACTTCTGAATGGTTTTGTTACTCGAGGTAAAAGGTTAATGCCTGGCAAATGTCTGAGTGAAGATTTTGCTCCCTAATACTTGAGTGCAAATTAGGATAGAAAACTGGGAGACAGATGTCCTAGCTGATATGAAACTGGGAGACAGCCATAGGGAGGAAAGCCAGATGAGGTCTGAGATGAAACTTGTCTTTACAGAAAACAATTGTAAAGATGCTCTGATGATAATGGCCTGGCAGAGGTAATAGATCCTAGAAATGCCACCTTGTTATGAGAGGTACAGCAGAGAGTGTTGCCAGTGGTTTGAAAGGCCCCATTAGCCTGGAAAGGACTAGACTGAGGTCTTAGGCTGGGACTGGCTGTTAGACATGTGGATATAGCCTGTCCAGACCTTTCAGGAAGTGGCTAACCATGGGGTTGGCAGAGACTGACTGAACCTCTGTGCCTGGATGGTAGAAATGACGACCAAGTGAACTTTTACTGATAACATAGAAAGGAACCTGCTGCTTAAGGTGGACAAGGTAGTCCACTAATAGGGATATAGATACAAGTATCAGAGACAAACAGTGTTGCACTGACTTTTTTTTCCACTTTGCCAGGTAGATAGGTCTGGTGGAGGGTTTCCTTTATGCCAAGTATGATTTGTCTGACTGGATCTGAATAAGTGAGTTCTATCAGGTTCACCTACAGAGCTTCCGTGCTGTGAGGTACAGCTGTTCAAGATTGGGGTGCTGGAGATGACTGTGATCCTGAGTTATCAAGTCTGGGAAGAGCAGCGAGGTGATGAGGGCTTCCACAGACATTTCCAGGAGAGAAGTGTACCACTAGGGTCAGGCTGTAACTATCAAAATCACCAAGGCCTCATCCTGCCAAATTCTGAGGTGCATCTTATGAACGAGAGTGATGAGAGGGAATGTGTACAATTGATGGCCCTCCTGGGGAAGGAGGAATGTGTCTGCAATGGAGCCTGGGCCGTGGTTCAGAAAGGAGCAAAAATGCTGGCATTTCCTGTTACATCACATGTTGAACAAGTCTACCAGGGGAAACCTCCACTAATGGAAGATGGAGTTTGCAACATCTGGGACCATTTGTGGTTGTGAAACAATATGTTGAGACAGTCCACCAATTTGTTCTGTATTAAATGAGCTATGCAGAAGTCCCACACCTTGAAGGCTTTCTGGCAAAGGGGAGAGGAACCTGCACCTCTGTTTAAACAAGACATTGCTGTAGTGTTGTCTTCATAAATTATTCAGATTTTTGCATGTTCAGGAGAAGGCCCAGTTTGTTGAAAGTTGCTGTTATGAACATGATTTGTACCTCCACTTGGTCTCTGGAGTAGTCCTTCATCAGCCAGTTGTTGAGGTATGGAAGCACGGGCCCCTGTGCAGGAATCCAGCCATGACTGCCAAGCATTTGGTAACTCTTGAGGCACTGCTGAGAAGCCGATCAAGAGGACTGTGAACTGGTAGTGATTGTGGTTCAACACAAACTTGAGATGCCTTTTGTGAGACAGAGTGATTGCAATGTGAAAGTAAACATTCTTCATGTTGAGAGTGGAATATCAGTCTCTGGATCCAAGGAAGGGATGACTGAGGTCAAGGAGAGTATGTGGTACTTCAATTTCTTCATGAACCTGCTGAGTTCTTGCAAGTCTAGGATGGGCCTGAGGCCACCTTTGGCTGCCTTTGGCTTTCAGTGTTAAAAAATACGGGAATAGAAGCCCTTGCCCTTCAACTTCTGAGGAACTTCTTCACTGCCACTAGAGATAGGAGCAAGTGCACCTCCTATATAACAAGTTGCTCATGAGAAGGATTCCTGAAGAGTGACAGGGAATGGAATTGGAAGGGTGAAAGGGCTAAAAATTGGAGGGAGTATTTCCTTTCTACCATTTAGAACTACCTAGCAGTCCAATGTAATACAGATCCATGTAAGGTAGAAGGGGATAGTTGGCATGAGAAGGTAAGGTGGGGTAGATCCAGCATCCACATTGGTCAGAAGACCTGCTTATGGTCTGAAGACAGCTCCAACTGGCCAGAGCCTGGCCTGAAGAAGGGCGGGGACTCTTTCTGTTATTTCAGTCCTCCACGGGGAACTGCTCTGCTTGTTGTGTGGCTGATAAAATTTTGGTAGAGGTTGTGACCTAAAATGTTTCTGCTGGGCCACAGGGGTTTGGAGGACAAGGGACTTGAGAGTGGCCCTTGAGTTCTTGAGGCTATGAAACCTTGCATCTTTTTTTTTTTTTTTTCAAAAAAGAGGGAATTTCAGGGGAGTTCCTGTGCAGTCTCCTGGACTTCATGGGGAGGCCAGAGACCTTTAGCCAGAAGCTCATCTTCATGGCTACTCCCATAGCTATAGTGCCAGTGGCCACATCCACCCCATCCAGGGCTGCTTGCAGGGAGGTGCAGGTGAAGAACTTGCTCTCCTCAACCACTGCAGAGAACTCTGTGTGGGAATCCTGTGGCAGCCATTCTGCATATTGGGCTCCACAGGTGTGTTAGCAGGGCATGAGGAGGTCACATGATCGCCTAGATTCTAACTGCTGAAGCTGGGTGTCCTCACTTTGCTTCCCCCTCCCATGTGCCTCCTCTCCTGCAGACGCAGCTTCCCTCTGTCTGATAATGATGGCCTGCTGGTTTGAAATGCTGAGCTGCAATCTCCCCTCCCCCGCCCATCAACTAGACCTTCCTTTCAGAAAGGTCTAATTTCTTATCCTCCTGATTTTTCAGAGGGGACCCTGGTAGCCCAGGCACTCGCACTGATTGGCTGCAGGGAGTCTGGCAGAGGGTGTGTGTACAGATGTTTGTACTCCTTGCCGAGGACAAAGTACCTCCATCATTTCTCTTTGCCATGGCAGGCAAAGAACCCATGGTCTGCCACGAGGTTTTAGTGAAGGGGGGGGGAGGATGTCAACCATGGGGTCAGCATCCTCCAGCGCTGCCTCTATCTGGATCCCCAGGTTCTGTGCCACCCTCAACAGGAGTTGCTGCAAGACCCTGCTGTCTTCCAGGACCAGGGCTGCTAATGTGCCTGTCACCACCTTGTCAGAGGGTGAGCCTGGCTGGTAGTGGCTCCTGACCTCTGTTCTTGGTGCCCAGAAGGTTTCATGGTGCCTAATGCTCTGGAGTGGGAGGAACTGCGCAGTCCCAACAGGTAGAGCTGAAAATGCCAAGGCCATCACTGCCATGGCTGTCGGTGTGGTGTGGATGTTGGTGCTGAACCTGTTGCTGCCGTGGAAGCTGCAGATGCTGCTGCTGCTGAGACTGTCATTGCTGTGGGTACTGCCAACATCGGTGCTGTGGGAGTCGGTGTCGTGGCAGATGACTGGGATGTTGCTATCTTCAGGCCCTTGGTGCTGACATCACTGGTGATGGTACAAACGACACTGCGGCTGCTGATGTGGATGTGAAGTGTGACCTCTAGTTGAGTCTCTGGCTCTGATGAAATGCTCAAGGCATCTAAAAGGGCCATTGAATCGGAGCCTACCTCTGAGCCAGCCCTGGAACCAGCTAGGGCTACCGATCATGTAGGGACCAGGGCCTTCTGCTCCTGATGGCGCAATATGACTCTGCTGCTGACTCCAGGGGCTTTGTCTAGGAGGACCAAGGAGGAGCAATGCTTATCAGTGCCAGTGATTGGTGCTGAGGACTGGGGGACCAGTGTGGATCCCCCATGTGGGGGAATGATGTGGAGATGATGGCACTGAGGGTTGAGTTGACACTAGTAACTTGTCCTTCCTTGCAGGGGAGAATGCTCCTGTGAGCTCTGGCAGATTTCTTGCATCCTCACTCACCTCTGGCATGGAGGGAAAATTCAGCTCTCAGCTGTGTCCAACCAGGACACAGAGAGGTCTGGACCCAACTGAATACCCTAGGACAGAGGTTCTCAAACTTTGTGATACTGCGTCCCTCCTCTAAGTTGCTCGCGACCCCCAGGGCGTCGGGACCCACAATTTGAGAAATGTGGGTGTGCCTAGAGGGCAGCAGCAAATGTGACCCTGGTTGGCAACAGGACTGAGATGGCATGACTCAACCACCTGCTCTTTGAGCTTGGCTGAAGGGCATCAGCCCCTCTTCAGCTTCTTTTGGGCACTGAGGATTGACTGTGGCTTATGTAGGGGGCCTGGTGGGTGGAGCCCTGGTTGTGCTGAGTGTCTCTAGATGAGCCCTTCCTAAGCACCGTCTTGGCATGCTGTCAGTGCCAGCACACTCCACACCAATGGGGAGGAGCTCAGAGTTGGCTCCATTGAGCCGGGGTCCAAATGCAAACAGAGCACAGCCTCCACAGGGCTCTTGAGAACTGGTTCTGGTTTTTCAGAGTTCTGGGACAAAACTCTTGACAGATCTTGCGGTGCTCCTAATGTCTCTCCCCCAGACACATCAGTCTGTGCGGTTGCCCCAGATCCCTCATTTTTTGAGGAGTAACGTTAGTTTGAACCAAGGGGTTTGATTCAAAATAACGTGTCCCGGAACGCACTTCCTGGTTCAAATCAGCTGGCGAGCGGAATAATGCGCGGGCAAGATTATGCTAATGAAGCGCGGGATAATTAAATCTCCGCTTCATTAGCAAATTTGGTCGGCTACATTTGCATCCCTAGCTCGAACTAGGGAGCAAGTGTAGACGTACCCTTACAGGAAAAAAAAAACAAATTGTCTGGTAGCACTTTATAGACTAACAAAACATGTAGGATGGTATCATGAGCTTTGGTGAACATTTCAGCTTGCCTAACCACAGTCTGACAGATCTGCAAGTAGCTGTCTTGTCACAAACCAGCTCTACAAGCCAAATACACAGAGAAGCCCTAGAATCCTGGTTCATCCACAAATTAAATTCACATGCTAATGGACTCAATCGTGATATTGACTGGTGGGAACTCTACCTACTTAATAACCACTGAAGGTGCTAACAGCTCCCTGAGTGGTATCTATCTATTGACTTTGATTTTTAGCTGCTTAGATTTAAGTACCCATTCTCCAGATATTTAATGATGCTCTGTCTCCTACCCCCCTCCCTGTTTCTTCCTCTCTTCCCCTCCCCTTGTCTCCTATTTATTTAGGGTTTTCATATCCCCAAATCATAACTCCGGTCATCTGAAGAAGTGGGCTGTGCCCACGAAAGCTCATGATACCATCCACATGTTTCGTTAGTCTATAAAGTGATACCAGACCATTTGTTGTTTTTTACTCCAAGAAGAAATATTCATTATGCCTCCCTTTGCTCTTCCACCTAAACCGGATTATATTAGGAAGGTTAAGTCTGGTACTACTAAGGTAAAAAACAAGCAGAAAAAAACCTTTAAAATATTTTTTTGAATCCTCTTTATACATCAAAACAGCAGAAACCTACCCCACACCAAACACAACTCAACACACACCCACTTTTTTAAATATTTTTACAAGATATTTTAAATTCTTCCAGATGCCACATTTCATCCTTTTCAACTTTCTTTTTTTTAAAGACAACGTCTTGGACCTTGGTGGGATATCCCATCGTACCATAAAAAGCGCACACGGCAGATCCTCAGAGATGTCTCATTTCACATAAAGAGTGGCCAGATTATGGCAATTTTAGGAAACTCTGGTAAGTAGGCCAAAACTTCCAAATCTAAAACAGTAGTACTTTTTAAAAAAAGTACATACCACATTAACTTTGTAGAATGTTATGATTGTGGCACTTCTGTAATAAGGCCACAATGCAGACAGTATTTATAACACTGGTTTACTTACTTAGTTAAATAATTGACTTCTTGATTGATGTCAACAGTCTCTAGCTGGTGAATGGCCTTCTTGGCAGCATTACTCTGGTGAGGATTTCTAAAGCACAGTCCACCCCCTGGACACCAGAATATGCTCTCCCATTGCCTACCCTGAATGGGCTGGGAAGAAGCTGGCTATTTTGGCTTTAGAACACTTGTAGATTCTCACATCTTTGAGGTCACTTTGCAGTGCACCAGTGATCTTAGCAAGGCCAAGAAACTAGCCAGAAGGTTTTTATTTTTTAAAGAATGGAACTCTTGCAGACTATCAAAGACTTGTTAAAAAAGAAAAGCTGTATCAGTGCATGCATGGCCATTGTCAGCCCGTCTCTTTAGAAACATGGCATTTTCAGTCAGTCTCCATATAATATATGTGTGGTCATGCTCAGAATACCAGGAATGGTGAGTTACCATGTTACTCCCTGCCTCTAGTACGGCAGGGTCATGACCATGGTAGCTTTAAGTTAGTGTCCTGACACTACCAGCCTTTCAGCCACTCAAGCACTCTCCTGCAAGCTGTGCCAGCCTTGTCTTTGCCATGCAGGTTAACAATAAGTGCATTCTTGTTCCCAGGTCCTTTGAAGCATTCCCCTGTGATATCCAGCCCCTGAACTGAAAGAAAGAATGAGGAGTCAATACGAAACAAATGGTCACAATTATGATGCATGCACATTAGATGCATGTGCAATGTCTTGGATAATGGAATCATGACCCCTGATTGGGGCCAATAGGTACTGCTATAATAAAAATAATATATGAATATAAATGAGATTTTTTTAAACTAACAGGCTCTGGAAAAACAACTCTGCTGGATGCAATATCAGGAAGACTGATACATAAAGGAAATTTCTTAGGTGACGTGTATGTGAATGGGCAGAACTTGAAGAAGGAACAATTTCAGGACTGTTTCTCATATGTTCAACAGGTTGTTTTTTAATTTAATTCATATGCATAGAGCCTTTTGTTAGTGATGATAATAATAGAATCATACAGCACGATTATGATTTCCATAATCCTGCCGTAAATCAGAAATGACTCTACAGACGTCATTGAAACTATGCTGGCATGAAATGTGTGTAAAGCAGAACCACACCTGGAGTTACAATACTGTTGTTCTTTTCCTTTTTTAGAATGATTCCTTGTTAGGTTATCTCACCATACAAGAATCTTTGACTTACACTGCTTTACTCGCACTTCAAAAGCGCTCTAACGACTTCATCAGAAATAAGGTCAGTACGTTTTATTCTTCCACTGAGACAAGCAAGACAGTCTCATAGGCATTTCATGTATGCCCAGCAGGTCAGACACACTAATGTCACAGACACTACCTTTCAGCAGATTTGGATTCCCGAGTTCAATTAATGCTCTCACATTATCCTTTCATCAATGGCACTTTTCATCCCTAGATCACAACATGCTTTATAAAGGAATTCATGTATCATCATTCCTATTTTACAAAAGAGATACATATAGCTGAAGTGAATTGCTCAGGATCACACACGAGTTCAACAGCTGATCCAGGAATAAAACTCTTCAGTCTTCTGACTGGCAGTTGTGTACCATGCTGCCATCTGGGAAAAAAATGAATATGTTGGAATGAAATTACTGTTGCTGTAGCTGTGTCAGTCTCAGAATATTAGAGAGATCAGGTGGGTGTGATAGTATGTTTTATTGGGCCAGCTTCTGTTGGTAAGAGAGACAAGCTTTCGAGGGTACACAGAAGACCTGAAGAAGAGCTCTGTATAAGCTTGTCTCCCTCATCACCAAAAGTCAGTCCAATAGAAGGTACTCTTACCCACCTTGTCTCTTTGGAATGAAAAAATCATTTCTGAATCAGTACCAATTGCTACTGCATGGGAGAATGAATTTGATACCAAGTTCAGAACTCCTTTAGTACCCATCCCCATGGTATCTGAGCACCATTACATACATTAGAACGCCATCATTTCCCTCCTGGAAGATGAACAAAGCTTATATAGCCTCCCTCCTTATTGCTGCTTTTCTGTGAGAAGTCGAAGATTATATGTATTTTTTAGACCCTGACAGAGTGATCAGCTCTGCACACAGTAGAGAAGAAACACTCCTGTCCCAGTGATCTAGCAATCTAAATAGAGACAAGGAAAATGAAAACTAAATGGACTGGGGAAGACAGACAGAAAGGTGTATCCAGGTCATTAATTTCCTGGTGTCATTTGTGCCCATCCAGGTGCTTTATTTCACAGAGCTGGCAATGGATGCCATTTTTACAATTGTCTGGGGAAAATATATGAATTCTGTCTGTGCCTTATACTGGGTGAAATGCAGGTACAGCCAGCTGTTTGGTAGAAGAACATTCTAGCAAGAGGGCAAATGGCTGCTGCCAGGAAGTTTTTGAGGTATGGAAGTCTATGGAAGTTTGTGAAAAGTTGCCAAAGATAGTGACCTCCAGGCAAAGGTGCTACCCAGCAAGTGTGGAGTTCCAGCTTCTGAGAGATGCCATCTACTTAGAGCCTAGTCTCCAATCTTTAATCAAGCAAATGTGAGTTGTGCTTGAGTAAGGTCACAGAACCTGGCTTTTTGTCAGTGAAGCACAGCTTCCTGGTTCTTTAAAGCCCTACATACTGATTCTCAATTATACAAAGGCTCCTATAGACTGCTCTAGCCTTGCTCACTTTAATGCTCCTTGATATGATGAAAGAAAGCTGTACAGACAGCCACAAAAAATCCTACCACAAGATGTTTTCTTTGCTGTTTTGAGCTACAGATCAACACCAGTAGCCTCTACTGGATATGCAGTCCAGCACAATTCTTGATAGGAAGACAATTGAAATTCTGTTCTGATTTTGGAAAACGCATCTCCAAAGTGACCAGAGATGAAGCAAGTAGCCACATTGAATAAAAAGGCAAAAAAAGATTATCAACACTTTTATGATAAATGTCACTCAGTTAAAGAACTGCTGGGTCTATAATATCACAAACCATTTGTGTCAAATTGGATGGAGAAAAATGATGGACAACTCCAGCTGTAATAAAGAAAGAGAATTAGTTCCCAAATTATATGTGATTGAAGCGGACAATGGAGAGTTTAACAGAAATCATAGACATCTACAAAAAGCATATTCCTCAGAAAGATCAACAGAGAAAACTTTAGGATGGCAGATAGAGAACAATACTCAGACTGCCAGTCATTTAAATTAATGGACAGCCAGATGGCTAAGATGTTATGATGGTGTATAATTAGAAAACCAGTGTCAGAGACACTTGACCCCAAGGCTGAACTTTAAAAATTTTGTAAATGGTTAATTGAAAATGAAATTCTACCTTCCCATTCAAGGATCAAATACAAATAAATTCAGATTATTGCAAATAACTTACACTAACACGAAGTGTGGACAGCATGTTGGGGACAGTTTAGAATGATATAAGCTGTTTCTTGCAATTTTTAATATTGTGTGCAGCTGTCTGAGTTGGGCATTGAATATTATTTCACATTTTTAAAATTGTAACTGTTTTGCAGGTAGATGCTGTTATGACTGAGCTGAGTCTCAGTCATATTGCTACTAGTGTAATTGGAAGCCGTATTTTTAGGGGAATTTCTGGAGGTGAGAGGCGTCGTGTTTCAATTGCAGCCCAGCTATTACAAGATCCTAGTGAGTACTGAACAGCTTTTCAAAATAAAACAAATATCTTGTCCTTTTCATTATGCTGTCACTTTGTGCACACTCCCACCACCCACCCCTAAATAACATTTTCAAATATAATAGCACTTTTCTTCTGTCACAGATCTACACTCCAAACTTCCATTGCTTTCAACTTGCAGACTCACTGCATAATCAGCTCTGCAGAGAGGCAGATATGTCTAATGACTAGAACACAGGCTGAGACTTCTGTTTTGTCACTGGCCTATTCTGTGGCCTTGGGCAAGGCACTTGCACCCTGATAGTTATGTTTAAGCAGATGCCTAGTTCTTATGGATTTAAGCATGTGTTAAAAAACCATGTGCTTAAATGCTTTATATCTGCCCATCTTTAAAACACAGCCAATGAAACTTACATATTTTAGCGGGGATTTGTAAGGATTAATTTTGTAATGATTGTTCAGCACTTTGCTTTCAAAGTGTAATGTATGTGTTCAATTTTATTATTTATTATATTTATTCTTCATATTTATTTATTTGGCTATAAAACAGAGTCCAAAAAGCACTCTATACACAAAGGCTACATCTAGACTGGCATGATTTTCCGCAAATGCTTTTAACGGAAAAGTTTTCCGTTAAAAGCATTTGCGGAAAAGAGCGTCTAGATTGGCACGGATGCTTTTCCACAAAAGCACTTTTTGCGGAAAAGCGTCCATGCCAATCTAGATGTGCTTTTGCGCAAAAAAGCCCTGATTGCCATTTTCGCGATCGGGGCTTTTTTGCGCAAAACAAATCTGAGCTGTCTACACTGACCCTTTTGTACAAAAGCTTTTGCGCAAAAGGACTTTTGCCTGAATGGGACCAGCATAGTATTTCCGCAAGAAGCACTGATTTCTTACATGAGATCATCAGCAAACTCAACTTGCCTTGACAATTACTTAAAACTGCAGTCCAGTTGGAATAACCATTTGCAGTATAACAGTGCTCATACATAAATTAACGCAACCAGCCAGTAAATGATGCATACCCCACAGCTTAGCAAATGCAATTTTTAGAGCACTGATATCCTACTTTCTTGATCACTCTTGTGAAGAAATTTATGATTTCTGTTGGAAACATAAGAGAGACCATTATATTGCAAAATTAAAAGCATCAACATCTGCAGTTTGCCACATTAATTCAGCCAATGATGAAATGGGATTTGAATTTCCCTTGATAAATGATGAAATATTGAAGTATGCACCGTCTGAACTCTGGTTTAATGACAACAATCATAGAATCTAATCAAACCGGTGGACTGTCAGGTGGGGCATTTTCCATGCTGTATCTCTTTTGTGGAAAAAATAAAATAGTTTGGGACTGTCTCTCCTCCTCTTCCTCCTCCTCCAGCTCTCACACCCTCAAGTATAATAAAATACACATTAAAATGACAAAGAAAATAATGCAGTAATAAGACTGTTTAATGTACAGAACTACATTCTGTACTACAGGATAATTTAAAATAGTTCATTATATAAAGCAGTTGTGTATACTGTATGCATGCAGAATACATATTTTTAGCTAATTTTACATATCCTTATAAGCATCATTTTATAATGCTAATTCTAAAAGCTGACAAACCCACGAATCTATTTTGGTAGCTTCACTGAGAAAAAGTGAACATTAAAAAATGATAAAATTCTAATTCTGAGTATCAAAGAGAGGACCTGATCTTATTCATTTCAGTATTCACCATGGTTGAAATTGGATCATCGAAGCAAGTAAAGCAGGGGTGGGCAAAATACGGCCTGTGGCTGCCCTGGCAGACCCTCAGGAAGGGAGGGTGCACCATCTGCCTCTCTGCACCAGAGGAAGGGGGAAGTTTCACGCACTGCCCCCACCCCCAAGACAATCTTTCAATTCCTATTGGCCGGTTCTCATTGGCTGCCCCTACCCGCAGCACAATCCCACTCCTCCCTGTGGGTGGTTCCTGCCAATTCGAGCTGAGAGATTGTGTTGGGGTCAGGGGCAGTGCATGAGCAGTCACACTGCTCTGAGCCCTGTTGGGCTGCTCGCCAGGAGCCACCCAGATAAGTGCCTCCTGGCCAGAGCCTGCCTGTGACTCCTCAGCCCCTCCTGCACTCCACTTCCTGCTCCAGGTCAGCACCCCTTCCTGCCCCAGGTCACTGCCCAAACCTTCTGCACCGCACTGCTCCAGGTCACAACCCCTCTCAGATCCTGCACCCTTCCTACAACCCTCCCCTAGGCCACAATCCTCTTCTGCATCCATAACCCCTCCCAGACTCTGCACCCCAATCCCGTGCCTCAAATCACAACCCCCTCCTTCACCCAACCTCCCTCTCAGATACCACACCCTCTACTGCACTCCAAATCCTTACCATGAGCTCTCTTCTGTACCCAACCTAATTCCAAACGCTGAACCACTTCCATAGAAAAGTGTAGCCCTTGACCACTTACCAAAATCTTGGAGTGGCCCCCATCAAAAATTATTGCCCACCCCTGAAATAAAGACTGAGGGATCAGGCTAGAGAAATAAACCTATTGTGTGCATAGATTTGCATGGCTTTTAGAGGTACTTCTACAGTGTGCCTATATGAATGTCTATAAAGGACAGAATCTATAGAGTTTGTTCCCCATTTAACTGAATTTTCAGAAATTATCCCTGTTATATTCGCAGAGGTCATGTTACTCGATGAACCAACTACAGGACTGGACTGTGTGACTGCAAATCAGATCGTCTTGTTGCTTTCGGAACTTGCACGCAAAGACAGAATTGTGATTATTACAATTCATCAGCCACGGTCAGAACTTTTCAGAGTAAGGAATATCCAGATGATAATAGCTTCCTACTGAGCATCACTTCATGTAGGTTTTTCTGACAATGAGAGTTATTTACACAAAATTAAATACAGTCTATTTTCAGATCCCTGCACAAGATCCCATTTTTCACCATATTAAATTCAAGTTGCTTATCCTCACCTTTGTGGCCCTTACAGGTCTACCCTTTTCCACTTCTTTGTTCTTGTCTCATGTCTAATCACACTTCCCATTGATCCCTCTGCTGTACCAATGATACTAACTCTGCCTTTCTGAACTGTTATATAAAAAGTTCTCTTTCAAATTCCTCTCCAAATGTCATTTCTTCTGAGAGACGAGAAATTGGCCAGCTAATAATTACTAGGTTGATAATGGTTAGGTTAGATATAGTTGTGTTTATTTTTTTTAAATGACAATGTATATAATGGCCAGCCTTACATGATTTTTTTTTGTACCCAAAACACTTTTAAAGGGACCTGGTTTTCAGGTAGTAGTAAACATCCTTGTCTGACCTTCCTGAGTCAGATCTTTGCAAAGACTTCACAGACTCAGATTACTGAGAGACAGAAAGAATCAGTGACATGACCAAGGTCACAAAGCGAATCGGTATTAAAAATGAGAACTCACAAATTCATTTCCCATTTCTGTGTTTGGACTGCAACTTTCTCTTCAGATCCAGTAGGATCCAATACCTTTAAGAAGAGTCAGTTCTAACAGATTAGAATTAAAAAGACATTTGGCAGTGCAGAAATACAATAAAGAAATTTAATAATGAGGCAAATCTATGCTTCCTGTCAAAGACCCCTTTGATTTACCAAATTGTAAAGTATTACTATGGCATATTACTATGGCAAGTACTATGCCATATTACTATGTTTTCCTTGTTAGTACTATGTTGCTCTCATTAATACATATTATATTGTCCAACCAGTTATTTGACAAAATTGCCATCATGAGTTTTGGAGAATTGGTTTTCTGCGGGGATCCTTCAGAAATGATCACATTTTTTAGTGATTGCAACTATGCCTGTCCTGAACAATCAAATCCTTTTGACTTTTATGGTAAGTTTGTCCAATTTGTATTCACAAAGATATTGGTATTTTATTCTAGGGAAACAGGTTGGAATTTTTGTAAACATAACTTATTCTAATTCTTCTCATTCTTTGTAATTGTGCTAAACTAACTTGTTCCATTGCATCTAAATGGGGATCAATGATATAAAACTATGCAACATAATGAAAAGAACAACTGCTCTTAGATCTGAGAATAAAAATAACTGTAGAATTAGTAACAACATAGTTTAGGCCAGTTTTGAAAACACGCTGCTTCTTTCTAGTATGATACTTATTTTAACCTGTGAGATATAGAACATTCAGATGCCATAGCTACAGGCAAACAAGAACCAGAAAAGAAAGTGCAAACTGCTGTAAATTTCACTATGGATCAGTAAACAGTGAAAATACACATTAGCACTGCAATAGAACAATATGACATAATAGGGCAGGGCTACTCAAAACACAGCCTGTGGGCCACATGTGCCTGCGGTCCATTTGTTTACGGCCCACGGGTGGGAGACAAAACACAAAAAGTAGTCAGTATAATGGTCTTCTGTTGATATGTGTTTTAGTAGTTAAATTCCTGAACTGTCATTGCTCATTAAAAGTGTTGTCATATGGGTGGAAATCGGGGAAAGGCATAAGGATCTTGTGCAAAAAGGGGTTTTTGCGCAAAAAGGAAACGTCCACACTGCTTGTTTTTGCGCAAAAACCCCTTGCGCAAAAACAGA